GTAATCATGGATGACTTGTGTTACAATATTAGAAAATGTAATGATAATCATGCATTTTTTTGTATTAGGTATACATTTATTGAATCAACAATATCAGTGTGAGTACCTCGTACGTATCCTCTTGGAATTAGAATCATCATCATCAAGGTCCAGTGATGTATACCTTCCTCCCCATCAAAGTTAACATCGATGTTTGCCAATGCATGGGGAGAAATACTGTGAATGATGATGCTTCCAAATAAGTGATCATGGAAACTCATATGCTCAAGTCTTTGATGTTCATGCCTTGGATCATCTATTTCCAGATAAGTGATCATGGTGAGCTGTCAGGATCCATTTAAGTTGTTTTGGCCAAAGTGACATGACTTGTAGTTTGTTAAGGTTTCCGTTGGAAGCTGGAACTTGACCTACCAAATTATTAGTAGAAAGTTGAAGGTAGACGAGATAAGAAAGTTTTACTATTGAGGAGTACAGTAAAGGGGAGCTGTGACTTAAAGGTAGAAGGTCTAGAGCACCCCTATTGAGAGTTTATGAGAGGAGTTCACACGGAAATCATGAAAAAAAATAATAAAATAACAAAAAGTTATTAACCCTTCTCTCTTAAATTCTCTCGGGTGAATCCCTCTTTTCTAAGGTTCACCACGTGGCGGCCCGGGATTGGTTTATGTTTTTTTTTTTTAAAGAAAATCAAAAAGAAAACAGAAAAATTTTAATAATAAAAACTTTGATTCAATGAAACCCAAGAGGGGTTTCATTGATGTGGATACTCTAAGTCAACACATTGAATTCGGTTGGTTTTGAATAAATGATGAATTGTACTACTTGTCCCCAACACTTCCACATAAATTCCAGTGGACCGTTCAATTTTAAGTACATACATCGACAAAATGTTTAGATTTTTAGAGTAAAAATGCACCATAGTCAACTTTTATTCCGAAAAACAAAGAAAAATATTATGTCCACCTGAGATATTAGTTTGAAATCAAATTATTTTGAAATTAGCTATTACTTAGCAGAAGCTATAAAGGAACATCTCGGCAATAGAAACCGAGGTTTTTTAGCAATGGTCTTTGATCATATGACTAAATGCTTGAAAGTTCTAACGATAATTTACAAAAAGTTGGATTCATCCTTCATCTTGTCTAGGGTATATAAGTTGTGGCTCAACCAGTGACAATGACGCAGCTTCTAAACCTTCTTGGAATCGTTTTGATTCTCTTAATGATGTCAACACTGAAACACCTGCTTAAAGTCAGTTTCTTCAGGACAGTGCAGTTCCTCAGAAAGAATCTTGATAATTCCATCTGGTTTAATGTTTTTGTTGGACCTGGTGTCGCAAGCTCAACATATACTTGAGAGATGATACGAAACACAGCGGCACAGAGGTGAGTTCCATTGGGCATTTCTCTATTTCAAATTCAGACTCAAACTCAAATTCCTGCATATAATTAATATGCCCCAAACAAAGAGATAGTTAAGTTGTATGGGATATGACATTACAAGAATAATAAGAGTCTCACCAGTATGAGTGTGTGTAGATTCGGGCAGCAACCAAGAAGGGTTGGCAGCAATTCCCAAAACGATTCATCAAAAGAAGCATTTAAACAAGACAAGTCAGAGAACTGAGGCAACGGTTCCAATTTTGAGTAATTATGGATGACCTGTGTTTACAATATTAAAAAAAAAATGTAATGATAACCATGCATTTTTGTATTAGGTGTAATACTCCTATTGAATCAACATCATGAGTGTGCGTACGTACCTCTAGAGTATCAGAAGAGATCTCCATGCGGGGGACTGTGGATATTTTGGTGAGGAAATTACGGATCATAGTCCTCCCCATAAAAGTTAACATTGATGTTTACCAATGCAAAGGGAGCAATACTGTGAATGATGATGCTTCCAGATAAGTGATCACGGAGACTCATATGCTCAAGCCTTGGAGCATCTATTTCCACAACATGATCACCTTCCAAGAGACCAGCGTGGTATGAGGGAACACATAGACTGAAGCTTTTTAAGGACTTGGAGCGCACACGCATAATTTTAAGATGGTCATAGTAATCCCTTATTATGGTTAACTTTTCAAGAACCGGGCAGCTAGTTATAAGCGTCTCAAGGTAATTGGATTCTTCATGGATCAGCGATTTGTCGTACTCATACGTTACATTATCTAAACGCATAAACTTGAGACAAGGCAGAGAAACAACAAACTCTTGTTCCATGTCACTCAAGGCTACGTTGTAGAGACTTAAGCTGGCCAAGGTGTTACATGAATATAGCGAACAAGGCATACAAACTAGTCCACACACATTTGACCTAACCTGAAAATCTAGATGACAAATTCTACGCCCAACTAAAGCATTTATCCAGGACTGCAAATCATCATCATCACCAATATCGTAAGAAGGACATATCAACTTGAATCTATTCATGGTTAGATTTTCGTCAGATTTAAGAAACCTATCGACGAACTCCATACAACTGAAATTATCATCATTGATTTGGCGTGAGTCCAAGTCGAAAACAGGAACCTGTAACCAGAGACTCCTCCAGCGTTTCGACAAAACGCTGCTTCTAACTGAATCTTTTGTCGAGAGAAAAGAGAGTATGTAACCAACGTTGAGTTGGCCTAGTGGTAAAGGGGTTGCAGCTGTAACTTCCGCTACTTGGGTTCAACTCACGGTGGGAGGGACTATTTACAATGCTTGGGTTCCCGACAAAGAGGTGAAACCACCTTTTTGACAGGTGAGAGAAAGTTTTCTCTCTTCTCTTTCTTCCCCCACCTCCCTTCTCTAGCCGTTTCCTTCGTGCCTTTTGTTCCGATGACCGGCGGTGCCCTCAGACCGTCGGTCACCACCCCTTTTTATTTCTAGTCTTCTCCGCCTCATCCCCTGCTGTTTCTCGGCTTCAACTTCTCTTCTTTGCTCTTCATCTCTGGTTTACTGCGGGATTGCGGCCGGATTCCGACGGTTCAAATCGGAAGCTTGAGTGTGTGCTCGGGCTTCTCTGAAGTGTTGGCGTGGAGATGGTGAGCCGTGGAGCCTCAGGAAGCATCGCCGTGGAGGTAGATCTGGGTTTTGGTGCGCTGGATCTGGGTCAGATTCACCTTGGAGTGCTAGTCGGAGTTGCTTAGCGTCGCTGCCTCTGCCCCTTTGGCTAGTCCTCCACCTCATCTCGGTTCCATTCTCTCCGTCTGCGATTGCTCTGTCAGAACTCCCCGTCTGGATCCTCCGATCTGCGACGAACTGGCGATTTAAGGCTTCGCCTGGGACTTCTTCGTCAGATCTCCTCACCGCTTAGCTTAGAGGCTTTACTCGCCTCTGTTGATTGGAGCTTTTCTCCCCTGTTCTTTATGTTTCCAGAAGGAAGCTTGCTGTTGTGAGTCCTGCCTCTCCTAGGTTTATGAAGCGTTATCCTTTTCAGTGCTTGTTAGTGTGGAGGGACCGGAGTCGGGAGCATAAATCTCCGCTTGCTCTAGCTAGCAACACCTTTCGCCTTCTTAGCTCGCTTCTTCTCTTCGGAATGGGATTCTCAAGATGCCTTCATGTTAGTTTCTGGATGATACAACGTCTGGAGTAAACCACTCTGCGTGGTGGCCGGACCAGGATTTAGTCGCCCCTGCTTCGCCTATCGCCTTTGTCGGTTGCCTTTGGGACAGTCTGCGGGTCCTCAGAATGTTCTCCGGTTGTTCCTCTCTAATGGTCATCACTCTTGCTGCAGGTCCGACATTAAGATTTAGTGATTATCTACTGGAATCACATAGCGGTTTATGGATCTCTATTATGCTAAGCTTTAATCTAGTCTTAGGATTGGATGAGACCTTAATTGTCTTCCAAAGTCTTTTTTATCTTTTTTTGGAGCTTTGTTAGACCTCTGCTTTAGTTAGCTACCATTGATGCATTAGGATTTGTTCTCAAATACTATTATGTATCCCATGTATCATTATCAACATAATGAAATTCACATACTTATCAATTTATAAAAAAAAAAAGAAAAGAGAGTATGTGACAAAGCAACGGCTCTGGTAAATCGTTTATCTCTGAGTTGCTTCTTCTTCTTTCCTCTAAGTTACTTTGCTTCTTTTTCACGAACCTTCTCTCCATTATCCACTTATGCCCTCTAAACCCTAAATTTCACAAGACCTTGGATCAAAAGTCCATATCTATTATATAAAAAAGAGCATCACTCTCTCTAAGGCTGTCTACCTCAGCGCCAGCGTGGAAATGCCAGGTCAGCAATCGTTTTTGGGCCAAAATTGATTGGGCTTCAGTTGTTTGTGTTTGGGCTTCAGTTATTTATTATTTTATTTTTTTTGTAAGGCCCTGTTGTTTTCTCACAAAAACAGGCAACGACTATCGGTGTCCTCTTCTCCAGATTTCTGAAACCACCAGCGTTAATGGATAGATTAACTCGGTGAGCATCAATGTCCTTCTGATGATAAATGGAAGTAAGTCCATCCCTTTCGCGTACTTTTCTCCACAACCTTCCAGAATGACTATTTCAACCGTTTTCTTTTCTGATTTGAGCATTGAAAGGTGCTCATCCGGTGAGGCGGCCTGTGAAATTTGTTTTACGAGAATAATTGTACTTTCTTCTTATCGTCTTCTGTAGTTTGTGGATTTTGTATATCTGCCTCTGAAATTTTTAACCATGATTTCCATTGGATTGTGTGTGGGTTAGTCAGCATGTAATGGCGGTAAATTCAAGAGTCTTTGGGTTTCCTCAGGCGTCGCTGTATGTCTTTCTTCATCCTTGGAATACGAAGATACTTATGAATCTCTGAAACGGGTGTGAATTATGGTAAGAATGTCGATCAACTTTTTCCAGGGTTGCTACCATTCTTCATCATCTGGTTGTTTTATACTGATCATTGACTTCCTCTACAGATTCGTAAGCCAATTAAGTCTCGCCGGTCTCCCTAGACAGTGGTCAAGCCTCTCTTTCGTTTATAGAAGCACGAGATATAAAAGGAGAGCTAATGGAGTTGACAACTTGAGATGCTCTTGATTGATGAAAAGGTAGGCCTCTCCATCTTCTCTGCAATTTTTTAAGATTTAAGTTGTCGTTACTGATTATATATATTCACCATCTTATTCATCCTTCTTCCTCTTCAGTCTTCACAGTTGACGCTCCTCCAGGGCACCACTTTAAACTTACAGATTCAACCGGTTAACTAAGCTTACAAATTTCGTCAAACAGAGCCCGTGAATCCAATACCGACTGAGCTGTTTTCAGGTTTTGTAGTTAAAGATCTGGCAAATACAAAAACAAATTTTCTTTTCCTCTTTTTGATAGAGTTGTTCTCATGATCTCTCCGGAAGGTAAATTAAGACAAACATAACTTTTTCATTTATTATGAATCTCCAAGAAAGCATGGGATATGTGTGATATACAACCATGACTGATCTTTTGCAGGATGGGTTATTTGCATTAATGTATAAAATTCCCAAGTACTGATTAATAAAATTCTATGACTTATCCACAACATGGTCTGACATGTTACTGTCCGGCATTATAGGCTGGTCTCCCAAGGCACCGGGAACACATCATCAGCTTCACTGTTGAGCCTGTGGCCATAGCTGAACTAAAAGAGTTTATCCTCACTGCCCAGCCTCAGGTTGTACAATAATCTTTAGTGTGAATGTTGATTGTACTTTACATTTTAAAAGCTCTGTATGTGATTATGTTATTGTAAAAGGTATGAGCAGGTGATGATAGACCAAAGATAAATAGATTCGGGTGAGTAGTTTTATATTCTCATTGCCTTCTAGCTGCTGCAGTTCTTCGTATCTTCATCTCATCAGCGACAAATATCTTCAGGTGTTACGGAATCAGTAAGAATCCAGACTTCGTCTTCATTATAAAAAAATAGTTTTTCTGTGTTTTGCTGGTACGTGGTTGAGTCTGAATGTGATCATGTTTGATTCAGTATTATGAGTGCATCCATGTTTAGTTCTTATGTATATTAGTCTATAGTGATTCACTTGGTATGTGGTTGTGTCTAAACATGATCATGTTTGATGCAATATGATGATTTACTTGGCATGAGGTTGAACCTATTGTGAATGTGTTTCATTCTGTATGATGAGTGCATCATGGACTGGGATAGGGCTGTTGAAAAGGATAGAAAGCTTAGGCCTGGGAAGTAACAGCTCTGCGGAAGACGGAAAAAGTCTCGACAGGTAACCACCAAGAACAGCTGGTTTTGTTGGCTTTGTTACTGCTTCGCACACCCTCTCCTCTGTTACGCATGTGTTCTTTTCAGAGCTGCGAACAAAGCGTTGGCCAGCGAGGGTTGAGTCTGAAACTGAGGGTTTGGATTGGTGGGAAGCATGTTGAGGGAAACGTTGAAACGGAGCTCGAGAGCTCGGAAATGGAGAGAAGGGTGCGCTGTTTGGCGACCAAAGGAAGTGAGAGGATGAGATTTGAGACATGCCCTTCGAAAAAAAATGATCTTGTGGAAGTTAAAGCGTGTAAGCGACGTGAAGAGGAGTGACCTGAGAATGGCCTCTCTTTTTTGCTAAGGTTAGAGATTGCTTCTATACTGAAGCAGCCTTGGTGTTAGCATCTGGTGCACTGTATAAACCCCTGTACGCATCACTTTAAACTGTTGAATCCCTCTCAACTTCTATACCCACGAACAAAAATAGGTGGAGACTTTGAAGTTTCTTTAAGCTAAAGGAAGTAATAGTGGTGGAGGAAGCAAAAACTTAAGTATATTGAAGATATGGTTCGATGAGGGAGAGCAAGTTATGGCTTTATATTGTTGGATGATTTCATACTTTTGTAATACGAAACTTTGATCAATCGTTCAAATTGTTTTATTGGAGCAGTAACGAATTTCACTTGAAGCAGATATTAGTTTTCTGAACTTCACTTGAAAAATTTATAAGTAAACCAATTAAGAGAAAACAATAACATTGTTATCTTTTCAAGTTTTATCATGTCAGCCATAATTAAAGAAAATATTTTTTTTTCTATTTTGATCATTGAAGTTAAAGTTAAGAAAAACTAATAAGATACTCAGAAAAAGACAACAAATATCCAGTTCAAAAAAAAAAAAAGACAACAAATAAGTTACACATTATCAAAACAAATGAAAAAATACAATATAAAACAGAAACATAAAAACAAAAATGAAAAAATAATTTCATGATAAACAAAAGACTATATTTATTGTATCTAAGTAAATGTATGTAAAAATGGTACTTCATGAATTCGAAAATATCTTCCAGGAAATTCAATATAATATAGAGTTAATTGGCCGATACACCCCAAATGGGGGTGTATATTAGTCACTTGCCCATGATGGGACATATTTATTTTGTCTGACCAAATTGTCCTTTCTCTCTCTCCTTCCTTCCTGCATTTACATGTGGGTGTTTAACTTTTTTTTTTTTTCATTTTCGTTATCACTACTCTTCTCTCCTCTTATCATTTTCAAAATGAATTACATACAAAATAAATATGTTAAATATTTTTGAGTTCACTTTGATTTTTAAATAATAATTGTAAATTTTAAATTTACTCAATGTGATTTGGAAATACAAAATTCAGTGATGCATTTTTTTGATGATATCAATTTTCTGGGTTTTAGATTCGACGTCGTGTTAGCGGTTAACAAATATTGTAGACGTTAACAGAAATGTTAACTGTTAACACTTATTTTTACGCTTCGCGTTAATAAATATGTTCGCTGTTAACAAATATTGTACACGTTAACAAAAGTGTTAACTGTTAACACTTATCTTTACGTTTCGCGGTAATAAATGTGTTGGCTGTTAACAAATATTGTAAACGTTAACAGAAGTGTTATATGTTAACAAATGTTTTTACGCTTCATGTTAATGAGAGGAAAGAGAAAGGGTATTCTCGGTATTTCCTTGCCAAATGGTTGTGTCAGTGTCCTTTATGTCCAATCAATAGTAGTTTGTTAATTTGAGCTGCAAATAAGGGTAATACACTAAATCACTCTATAATATAACTCATTTTACTCATATTTTATTATGAGAATTAAATTTTATATAAAACAAAAAAAAATCAAATAAATAACAGAAATTAACGATGCTAATTGATGGTAAGTGTTAAAGTGTCAAAACATAGATTCTATGTCATGTTGTTTAAATCTTATAAGAGATTATAGTCCAATTTATTTGGTTGTAAATATTTTTCCTAACCTATATAAATAAAATTTTAAAAACTTAAAAGACTTAAAATGAAAATTCCTTTACAACAATATTTGACTAATATAGAATATATAAAAATGTGCAAGATAAATATATAGTTTACGCTATATAAATAGATTTAAAATCTTTGCAAACCATGTAAAAGTTATAAAATTACGGTAATGAAAATACATAGTACCATATTCTACCAATGGATCCTCCAAATCTTGACAATAAAAATATCTTGGTAGCTGATCTCGAATGGAAGATAGAAACATTATGAATTTCTTTCCCCATATTCTGAAATCATATGTTTAAGAATTAAAATTAAATAAGAAATATAATGGTTCAGAGATTATTTGTTCCTAACAAACAAAATAGATTATTTTATCAAAACTAAATATCACTTAACAATAAACTTAATATATAAGACCGATGATCACCAGAAACAACATTTCCAACCCACATTTCCACTCTAATTAGATAACTAATGTTTTGATTCTCAGTATCTCACCAAAATTGAGATTTTATTTTTAGAAAATAACCTTGGAAAGAGCCATATACATTAATTATTAGATTCGACTGCGAATGACATATTAATTCAATCAATTGATGTCATAAAAGCAAAAAATCAAAATACAAAATTACTCATAAACAAACTAACCAGCAACTTAAATTGACAAAATAGTATTTTTCATACTCATTTTTTTGCAGATGTGAACCTAAAACATTGAACAGAAAATTATATAAAAAATAATAATCTAATTCACAATTAAAATATATCCCGCCCGTAGGGCGGGCCGACCCTAGTCTCTTATATACTAAAGAAAAAGTCACTCTATCCATGATATTATGCCATGTGGAATATATAAAAAAATAAAAAGTAATTAAAATAAATCTTAAAATTAGAAAACTATCTTATATAATAAAATTGGTTTTTTTTTCACTCTTTGAGGGGAAAAATATCATGTGTCACATTTTTTTAATGATATTTAATATTTATTATAGTATTTAACAAATTTTAGTTGACTTAATGAACCAATAAATGCTAATAAAAATTTAAACATTAATTAAAATAAATTGTCTATTTCATTATTATTGTTTTAGTTTTCTATTTTAACGAAATTTTACAAATAATTTTAATATATATTTTTATTTATGAACAAATGATATATATAAGTTAATTTGATTTTTTTTTACAATATTGTACTTATATTTAGTTTATTTTTTTATTAATATTATATATGCATTTATATTGTAATGGTGATATATGATTTATTATTTATAAAATATTTCTAAAGTTTTTCTAAAATAAATAATTATACATCTCTTATATAATAAAGTAGAATTTTTTTTTCATAGAGGCAAAAGATGATACTTGTCATTCTGTCATTTGTTGAAAGTGTTTTAGGTCCAACTATAAAAAATCTTTTATTTTATTTGAATTTTTATTGATTTTTACAAATGATATGATTTTAAGTAAATATTTTTAGTCCAGTAAATTTAAAAAAAAACTTTCTCACTTTCAACCTATTTTTCAAGATGGATCTTAGATCTATTTTCATTTTGAAATCAATATCCTTGATTTCCAAAAGATTTCCGTAAAATGAGAGTTTAAAAGAAAAGAAAAAGCTCCAACAAGAGTCAAATCAAAACGAGGAAAAACTGAATTACACAACAATTCTAAAACCGAAAGTAAAAAAAAACGAAAAGAAAATTAAAATCATATTGAAATCAACATTCTTGATTCTTAAATTTATTTTCTCGATTTTAAAATCATATGATTTATTCAGATTTGGATATATCCTTGATTTTTGTTAAAAACTATTTTCATTTTGAAATCAATATCTTTGATTCTTACATCTATTTGACCGATTTTAAATCATATGATTTATCAAAGATTTCTAAATCCAAATGTTTTTCTAAATCCATTAAAATAGTGGAATCAGTAAGCCCCACCAAATGTTATCATCATAATCATCATCATCATCACCTTGGTACAGTAATGCATAACCGTCATTCCCATCAAGCTAACATCGATGTTCACCGATGCATAGGGAGCAATACTGTGAATAACGATGCTTCCAGATAAGCGATCACAGAGACTCATATACTCAAGCCTCAGAGCATCTATTTCCACAACATGATCGCCTACCAAGAGCCCAGGTTCGTAATCCTCAATCTCTAGAGTGAGACATTTCAAAGACTTGGATCGCACGCGAATCATTTCAAGAAGCTCATAGCGATCCCTGATTAGGGTTAGCTTCTCGAGAACAGGGCAGCTAGCTAGAAGCACCTCAAGGTTTGATTCATCACTGTCGTCGGACGATGATGAATCGTACCTTACTCTATCTAAACGCATAACCTTGAGACAAGGCAGCAAAACAGCAGACTCTTCTAGTTCAAAGCCGCACAAGGCGACGTGGTAGAGACTTAAGCTAACCAATGTGTTACACGAATACAGCGAAAGAGGCATCCAAACTAGTTCGTTATAATCTGAGTCAACCTCAAAATCTAGATTGCGAACTCTACGCCTGATTAAAGCATCTATCCATGACTCCAAAACACTATCATTATCTTCATCATAGTTGTTCATCAACGTACTCATAGGAGCAGCTCAACTTGAATCTATTCAAGGCTAGATTTTCGTCAGAGTCAAGAAATCTATTGACACAATCTGTAAATCTGAATCCGTCATAGCAGAATTGGAGTGAGTCCAATTCGAAAACAGGAACCTGTAACCAGAGATTCCTCCAACGTTTTGACAAAACGCTGCTTCGGATTGAATCTTTTGTCGGGAGAAAAGAGAGTATGTGACAAAGTAACGAATCTGGTAAATCGTTTATCTCTGTGTTGCTTCTTTTTCTTATTATTATTATTTTCTTTGAGTTGGTTTGCTTCTCTTTCGCCAACCGTTTCTCCATTATTTCCTCTAAACCCTAAATTTCACAAGACCCTTGGATAAACTAAAAGTTTTCTCGTAGGAAGATATCCCAGGGCATGATTATTGCAAGTTTCTTGTGATTGTTTCTTAATACACATATATGTGTATGTATATATTATATATGCGTATATAATTGTGGGTTAAGGACTTTACGGGAAACGAGATAAAAAACCTCTTAATTAAGAAATTTTCTGTCTCGTTTTCCGTAAAGTCCTTAACCCACAATTACATACGCATATATAACATATACATACATATATATGTGTATTAAGAAACACTCATAAGAAACTTGCAGTAATGTTGCCCTCAGCGCAACTCTTTATTTAGCTTGCCACGTGGTATTTTTTCCCAGCAACTATTGATAGTTAATTTGGGCCACCGTAGACGACTCTTGTTTTTCTTAGGCCCAATATAATTGTTTTACTGTCTCCTCTGTTGTTTTTGGGAACCAAGGAATGTGAAGAAAGGTGGAGAGCTGATGGAGATTGATACGGTTCTAGTTGATGAACAGGTCTGTTAACTTAACTGAATCTGTTGTTTCTACATCGCTCTATGTCTAACCAACTTAAAGCATCTCTAAGAGGTCTTTTTCTATCTTTAAATTCTTAAGGTTCTTCACAGTTTAAAAGATTTTTATGATTTGAATTACGTATATAAGTCTCTCTCTCTCTTTTGTGAATTTTGTTATTTTCTTTCTCACAATTGAATAATTGGGGGTCGGGTCATACACTATTATCTTTTCACGGCTGTTGATATGTGGGCATCTCGCTACTGTTTTAGAAATCTAAATCGTTACGGGCAAGGATGTATCGTATGATTGACGTGTGGAAGAAGCAAGCGTGTCGTGGAAAGTGTGAAAAGAAGAAGAAAACCATGCAATACAAAATTAGAAACAAACACAAATGAGTCTTTATGAGAAGACACTTAGGAAAATATTTACACAACACCCAAGTTCATAAGATATTAAGGTTAATAGAGTCAGGTCGAGAGTAAACTCTTATAGAAGAAAAATTAGAGCTTGATAACATCTAGGTAAAACCTAGGAAACTTGAAGCCATGCCCACACACACATAGAACAAAATAAACAAAAAGCTAAAATAGTCTTACACTGGATTTATACTCCTATATAAGCTGGATTCATTCTTCATCTTGTCGACGGTATATAAATTGTGGCTCAACCAGTGACAATGATGAATGATGCACCTTCTAGACCTTCTTGGAATATTTTTGATTTTCTTAATGATGTCATCACTGAAACTCCCGCTTAAAGTCAGTTTCTTCAGGACAGCGCAGTTCCTCAGAAAGAATCTTGCTAATTCCATATGGTTTGATGTTTCTGTTGTGTCTGGTGTCAAGGTAATTAGCTCAACATACTTGAAAGATGATACGAAACACGATGGTACAGAGGAGAGTTTGGTTGGCGATACCACTTCATCAAACTGCTGATATTCCTGATCATTAATATATATACCCCAAACAATGAGCTAGTCGAGTGTTGTGAGATATGAAAATTTACAAGCATATGTAAGACTCACCAGGACGAGTGTGTGTAGATTCGGGCAGAAACCAAGAAAGGTTGGCAGCGATTCCAAAAACGAGTTAACGAAACAAGCACATAACCAAGTCAAGTTGGAGAACTCAGGTAACGGTTCCAGTTTTAAGAAATCATGGATGACCTGTGTTACAATTAAAAAAAGTGTAATGATAATCATGTGCTTTTTTTTTGTATTAGGTATACTTTTATTGAATCAGCAACATCAGTGTGCGTACGTACCTGTAGAGTAACAGAAGAGATCTCCATGCGGGAGACTGTGGATATCCCGGTGAGAAAATTACGGATCATAGTCCTCTTGGAAGAATCATCATCATCAAGGTCCAGAGATGTATAACCTTCCTTCCCATCAAAGTTAACATTGATGTCTACCAATGCATAAGGAGCAATACTATGAATGATGATGCTTCCAGATAAGCGATCACGGAGACTCATATGCTCAAGCCTTGGAGCATCTATTTCCACAATATGATCTTCCAAGAGACAAAAGTCGTATGAGTCAATCCGTAGAGTTAAACTTTTTAAAGACTTGGAGCGCACACACATAATTCCAAGATGGTCATAGGCATCCCTGATTATGGTTAACTTTTCAAGAACCGGGCAGCTAGCTATAAGCGTCTCAAGGTAATTGGATTCGTCATGGATCAGTGATTTGTCATACGCAAACCTTACATCATCTAAACACATAACCTTGAGACAAGGCAGAGAAACAACAAACTCTTGTTCCATGTCACTCAAGGCTACGCTGTCGAGAGTTAAGCTGACCAAGGTGTTACATGAATACAGCGAAATAGGCATGCAAACTAGTTCGCTGTCATCTGAGACCTGAAAATCTAGATGACAAACTCCACGCCCAACTAAAGCTTCTATCCATGACTCCAAAACACTATCATCATCATCAATATCGTAAGAAGGACATATCAACTTGAATTTATTCACAGTTAGATTTTCGTCAGATTTAAGAAATCTATTCACGAACTCCGTACAACTAAAATTATCATCATCGATTTTGCTTGAGTCCAAGTCGAAAATAGGAACCTGTAACCAGAGACCCTTCCAACGTTTCGACAAAACGCTGCTTCTAACTGAATCTTTTGTCGAGAGAAAAGAGAGTATGTGACAAAGCAACGGCTCTGGTAACTCGTTTATCTTGTTGCCTCTTCTTTCCTCTGAGTTGCTTTGCCTCTTTTTCACGAACCTTTTCTCCATTATCACTTATGCCCTCTAAACCCTAAATTTCACAAGACCTAGATCAAACGTCCATATATAAAAGACAAAAGAGGAGCTAGTTACTCGAGAGGAATGGTTTAATAACACTAATCGGTTCAACCGATCAGAATTTAGAACCGAACCAATACATTAATTTATAATATAGCTAAAGATCCTACGGCTCTCGTTCGCTCATGAATCACATCTATAAACTAACGGCCTAGATCATAAGAGAGACTCATGAAGAAGAAGAACACAAATTGAATCTGAGCTCTCTCTCTCTCTTCTCTCTCCCTAACTCGAATCAAATCAACGAAACCCTAACAACCATGGATCTCCCTCACCGTCTCTCATCAATCCTCATCATCTTCCTCACAATCACCACCTCCTTCGCCGAGATCCGCAAATCCGAGATCCGATCCGATGACCGCCCCATCATCCCCCTCGACGAATTCGGATTCACTCACACAGGCCGCCTCGAGCTCGACGCCTCGAAAATCTCCCTCTCAAACACCAACCCCGACCTCGATCTCTCCAAGGTCGGCTTCTTCCTCTGCACGCGCGACGCCTGGGTGCACGTGATCCAACAGCTCGAGGAGGAGGAGATCACGTGCGCTCTCCAATCAGATCTCGTCAAACACGTCTTCACCTTCAACAGACTCAACAGAAACACTTCCTTCTCAACCGTATTCACCGAAAACGACGCCGATCAGTACTCCCTCGTCTTCGCCAACTGTCTCCAGACGGTTAAAGTCTCCATGGACGTTAGATCCGCTATGTATAACCTCGAAGGGAAGAACGGAGGACGGGATTACCTCTCCGCGGGGAGAACCGTTCTTCCGAAAGTATATTTCCTCTTCTCTGTGATCTACTTCTCTTTAGCCGCCACGTGGATCTACGTTTTATTTAAAAAACGACGCACGGTGTTCGCGATACATTTCTTCATGTTAGGAGTTGTTGTTTTGAAAGCTTTGAATCTGTTATGTGAGGCTGAGGATAAATCGTATATTAAGAAAACAGGGAACGGTCATGGATGGGATGTGTTGTTTTACATCTTTAGTTTCCTTAAAGGAATCACTCTTTTCACTTTGATTGTTTTGATTGGAACGGGGTGGTCTTTCTTGAAGCCTTACTTGCAGGACAAGGAAAAGAAAGTGTTGATGATAGTCATTCCTCTTCAAGTTGTTGCTAACTTCGCGCAGGTTGTTATCGATGAGACGGGGCCGTACGGGCAAGATTGGGTCACATGGAAACAGATTTTTTTACTTGTTGATGTGGTTTGTTGCTGTGCTGTTTTGTTTCCCATTGTTTGGTCGATCAAGAACTTGCGTGAGGCGGCGAAGACTGATGGGAAGGCGGCTGTGAATTTGGTGAAGTTGACTCTGTTTAGGCATTACTACATTGTGGTTATCTGTTATATCTACTTTACACGAGTTGTTGTGTATGCGTTGGAGACTATTACTTCTTACAAGTATATGTGGACTAGTGTTGTTGCTAGCGAGTTGGCTACCTTGGCGTTCTATCTGTTTACTGGGTATAAGTTTAGGCCGGAGGTGCATAACCCGTACTTTGTTGTTGATGATGATGAGGAAGAGGCTGCAGCTGAGGCTCTGAAGCTTGACGATGAGTTTGAATTGTAAGTCGCAGAGAAGCATACTTTTGTTTGACATGATGGTTATATCTGGTAAAAAAACAGCTTCTCTTATCTGGTTCTTTTTCGTTTTAAAGTTTTATATTTATGATGTAATACATGTTTTGTTTAATTGAGTTGGTAGGAACACTTATTTTAGACTCCTATGAATGTCTTGTTCATTGCATAGTATTATTGTGTATTAGTGGTAAATAAAACGCTTGGTGGTTTATAGTTATATGATGAGTCTCTGCTTACCATATGAAAATAAAAAGCGAGAAAAGATCTTATGTAAGAGGAAGTTTTCGAATCCATTTTCAAGTTATTATACATCGAATACCACCAAATACGATACATAGCAAACCGCTAAATAGGAAATTAGTACAAACAAGCACATAGAAATTACGAACAACTGCAAACGAGTCTTTTGAAAAACACACACGGCAAATTCAGTACCAAGACGAACAAGACTTTGAACAACATATGCTTTAAAAATACTTATCGGAGAGACTGCAAGAGATGGGATTAACGAGCAAATGCGGTGACTCTGAGTTTTCTTCGACCAAACATTTCTGCGAACCATTCTTGATTGTGTGAAGTGAAGATGTGTCCCATCACCAATCCACAGAACAAACCAGGTCCATAGGCTATAGCAGCTGCTACCCAGTTGAACATTTGTTCCTCTGACTCTGACGCTTCCTCGGGTTGTTTTGATGTAGCATTTGGGACATGGCTTCCTTCACAGATATCTTTGAGGCCGTAGAGTCCAGGGTTTCCCAGGAAAGAAGAACATTTCTGCCTTTGAAACTGTGTGCTACGTGGTACTGGACCTCGGAGAAGGTTATGAGAGAAGTTCATGTATGACAGAAAAGAGAGATCACCAAGATCTTGTGGGATTTGACCTGACAACTTGTTACACGAGAGGTCTAATGCCTCAAGATTTATCAAATTCGCCAAGGATAGTGGGATATCACTTGTAAAAGCGTTACCTGACAAGTTGAGAAGACGCAATTCCTTCAAAATACCAATGGAATCAGGGATTTTACCATATATTCTGTTTCCAGAAAAATCTATGGCTCTGAAGTCTTTTCGAATATGATCAAACCTTGTCACAACTCCTTTATTCACAATCTCCATTGTGTTGTAATAGACAACATATATGTCATCATCCTCCATGTACTCGTCTTTTTCTTTCGTTAGTGTGTTCATTTCCCGCCAATTCAAAAAATAGTGAGGTGGAAGGTTTCCAGTAAAATCGTTGTGGGATATATCAATGATTCTTAAACTCTGAAAACCAATGGACATGTGGCGATGATGATACAACGGTCCATAGAACTCATTTGATCTGAGGATGAGAACATGTAATGATGGCAGCGACCCTAACAACCATGATGGAAACTTGTCTCTGAGTTTATTGCTTTCCACGTTTACAAGCTGCAGACTTTTGCAATTGATTAAGGACTTTGGAAACTTTCCCTCCAGTTGGTTGTGACTAATGTCCAGTGACTGTAACTTGGTAGCATTGGCAAATATATCTGGAAGAGAACCACTGAAACTATTGTTACGCAGAACCAGTTGTCTAAGATCACCAACGGAGTTCCTTAGACATGGAGGAACCGAACCGTTGAAGAGATTGTTAGCCAAAAATAATAAGTGTAACCTTTTAAGTTTGCATATCCAATGCGGAAATGGTCCGCTGAATGAATTTGAACTCAGATCCAGAAACTGGATCGGTGTTTCCTGTGAAAGATTTTCAAAACTGCTGAGAGAATTATGAGAAAGAAGCAATGTCGTGAATCTCCACAAGAAACTTGGCACTTCACCTTTCAACTTGTTGTAGGAAAGGTCTAAATCTGTGAGGTGGACTAACTTTGAAATTGATCTAGGGATTGAACCAGTGAAATTGTTGTTGCTAAGATCTAAGTTCTTGAGGTTGAGAAACTCAGATATGGATTCTGGGATTGGACCATCGAATTTGTTAAGAGAAAGGTTTAGAAACTCTAGCTTAGGCGATGATGTATTCGCAAACTCTATAGGTCCTTGGAATTGGTTTTCTTCCACATGAAAATATTCTAACGAAGGAAAGGAGAACAAGGATTTAGGGAAAGGCCCGAAAAATGAGTTGAAAGCAATATCGATAGACTTCAAGTTGTGGAATAATCCACTCATGTCTGAAGGAAGCCTGGATGTGAAGTTATTATAGTAGAGAACAATATTGGAAAGCTTGGTTAAATTGGCAAATGAAATAGGAAGGTTACCACTAAAGTTGTTGTTTTCAAGGGACAGGACTTTTAGCTCGTTTAAGTTTCCGATAGAATTTGGAACTTCACCTACCAAATGATTGCCCGAAAGTCTAAGATGTAAGAGATAAGTAAGGTTTCCTATTGAAAAAGGAATCATTCCGGTGAGACGGTTATTTTCTAGGATAAGGTCTCTTAGTTGGTTTAAATTGCCTACCGAAGCTGGAATCTCACCTACCAAACCATTCATAGAAAGGTCAATAAATGTGAGACGAGAAAGGTTTCCTATTGAAGAAGGAATATCTCCTATGAGATCACAGTTCATTAGGTCTAGGTGACGCACATATTGGAGTCTAAAAAGGCTACTATTAGTTTTCAAAGAGCCTTTGAGAGATGCGTCAGAAAGTTTGAGAGATATCACCTGGCCATGTTTTTCATCGCAGGTGACACCCTTCCAATGACAGCAATCACTGCTCTTCTTCCACGAAAGTATACTTGTATTTCCATAGCGAAACTCGTCTATGAACTCCAAAAGAGCATCCCTTTGCTCGTGTCGGCAGAAGTGGAGCGTAGGAGAAGACAGAGTGTGGGTTAGAAGGGAGAAATAGATGGTGATAATACCAAACAAGCAATAACAGTGGCTTGGGATCATTGTATCTCTTTTTCTGAGTTTGTGTTGTATCTCTTCGGATTATGATGTGTGCTCTGTTTAAGAAGAAGAAGAAACCCATTAATCGGGATGTGACTTGAAAGTCTTGAGTCAACTCGTGGGATTCAGTTGATTTGTCTAAGTCTTATGCTCCCTCTCGTCAATGAATTGGACCACTTGTCTTAAAAGTTTCCACCTGTCGTTTGGTTATACGATAATAATATCTTGGCGCCATTCATGCTTCCTTCTTATTATGTCTCCTCTTTTAAAATTTAGTTTTAAATTAGTAACGATTTCGCTTTACGCTAATGTTTTAGAATTGTAGATGTAGAGATTTTGATTTTGAGAACTGTGGATGTTACTTTAAATACTTTAAAAATCTGACTGGCAGTATAGAATCTGTGACTTTTATGATAAAATTATAATTATGTATCAAGTCCAAAATAAATTATATGTGGCCACTTTGGCGTTTTATTTGTATACTGGCTACAAGTTCAGGCCAGAGGTGCATAACCCGTACTTTGATGTTGATGATTATGAGGAAGAGGCTGCAGCTGAGGCCCTGAAGCTTGAAGACGAGTTTGAATTGTAAGTCGCTGTGTGATTCTCGGAAGAAGCATACTTTTGCTTGACAGGGTGATGTAAGAGTTAATCGGATCATTATCGGACTTATTTTGGTAAACCAGCTTCTTGTTTTTCTTTTTAAATTTTTCTTCTTATAATGTAATACATGTTTTGTTTAATTGAGTTGTTAGGACAGTTATATAGATTCTTATGAATGTCTTGTCTTGTCCATTGCATAGTATTATCGTGTATTACTATTAATGGTAAATAAAACGTTTGGTGCTTTATACTTATGCTGAGTCTCTGCTTATCTTATGATCTCGACAAAATGGCTTGATTAGAAAACTAGGCTAAGCAAGCAAGTAGCTTGAAAGTAGTTAACACACATATGGCTCCATGCGTTTGTTGAATCTGTAGTATATATCTTTGTCCAAAGTGTTAGCTCAGTAAATTGGTAGAGTGCATGGTTGGTTTGAAATTATAGATATCGTTCAAAATGTAGAGTTTTAGCCATAATGTATGTTTTTTTCCAGTATGCTTTACTTTTTGACTAGGGGATTTTCCCGTGCTCATGCACGGGTATAAATATTTTTAAAGTAAATATATGATAATAACTGATTACTATTTAGTTTTAATTTTCAATTAATTTATATTTTGTATGTATCATTTATATTAATAATATTATATTACTTTAATTATACTTTAATTTTATATATGTTATATCTAGTCGATTTTGTTGTTTTTACGCTTGATTTAGTTATCATTTGGATAAATTGGATTGCATCTCTGAATTCAACTGTAATATTTTAAAATATATTAATTTTTATTAATTACATATTTGCATATAGTGGGTGTTGTCTTAGATATTTAAATATATTTTAGTAAAATTATGTATAACTTAAGATATATTGTGCTTAGAATGAATTAAAAAATTAACTAAAGTGTCTGATTCCAAAATACGTAATTTAATATAACGATAATATTCTAAAGTCTCATGCATATATATAAATTTTACAAAAGAACTAAAATTGTAAGAGTTGGTTAATATTTATTTTCATTTGTTAATATGTTTTGTGTTATCCTTTGATCAATAAAAGGCTACATGCATAAGTAGTTGATACATTTTTTGAACCTCATGAACACATATCAATATTTACAATAATTAAAATATTTATAAATTCTAAATAACTTTATGCTTTATATTTATTGAATGTAAACTGAAATTTATTTTAAATAATATTAAAATTGGAAATTCAGATTTTCTTTGGTATTTTGATTATGGTTATATTTAGTTTCAAAAACATAAAATTTTAAAATTTAAAATAAAATTTAATATTAAGAAAAAAATAATTTTAATAATGATAAAATTATTTGATCAAGCAATGTTTATTGTTAAATTTATTTTTTGTTTTTATTATCTCTTAAAAATAAGCACTACATAAAATTGTGATTGTATTTGAAAATAATATTATATAAGTAAAATATAATTTATAGATAATTTTCTGTAATTGTAAGATATTATAGTCAACTAAATATATGAAAAATAAAAAAAAAATCAATAATACTAATTATAAAATAATTTTATTACTCTAAAAGTATATTTTATGTTATTTTATAAATATTTTTAAATGTATTATTACTATTTTGTGAACTTTCCTTTTTTTATGAAATCATATTATATATACATATATTTTTCGTTTTGAATTTGTTTTTATGACTTTATAAAAAGTTTCCTTTTTATTACATATATTTTTAGAAATTTTTGAAAAGGAAACTAAATAAAAAAATTAATAATAATATTTTAACTATTTTTAATTCATTAAGGGTATCAATGTAATCAACCATCGTGAGAATGAACGTGAGAGCGACACATAGGAAACTGACTTCTCAAATAATATTATAGAGATATCTTGATTTTATATATTTTTGTCGTTTATTTAATAAATTTCCCAGAGGGTTAAACAGTGTTGTTAGAGTTGACAATTGAAACACTCGAACTACCACAGAAACAATCAAATTCCAAAAGGACAAAGCAAATTTCTTCTTTTTCTTTCTCTGGCAAAACTACCGAGGAAGAGGACACAACAACTTCTCTGTTGTTTTCTCAGGAAGTAACACTCAAACATTTCTCAAACACTACCAACAACTTCTCTTTTTTCTTCTCAAGAAGTAACACTCCAAGATTACACAAACACTACCAACTCTGTCATATTAGCAGGTGATATATATATATCTGCTCAAGCTCAAAACAACAGGAGGAAGAGGAAAACACGGGCGTAGAGGTCCTGGTAATCATCATCCTTGCTAACTTGTTACTCATATTTTCAAATGATAAGCTTAATCTCATTAAGTTTTTCTTAAGCTTCTATATGTTTAATTTCATCAAACTTTGTCAAACTCTATAGTGTTACACCATAATTTGTATTTCCTTTTCGCATTTTAATTGGAAAGTCTATTATAAAAAAAAGGACCCAAACTAAATGATACTCAAGGAATAAAATCTAATTTCAAAAATTCATGTATGTGCGGGATTTATACAAAGATTTGAAATAAGCAAAAATCCAAATGAAAATATTCTCCGAAGAAAACGTACAGATAAGGACGTTATTTCTATTTTAATTTCTTTTAAAAATATATATAATTAGCATCTAACTGGATAAAAAAGGTAAGGTAAAACTATATACAATGTTCCTAATCCCAAGTCTTTTCTATACTGATTACTGACTGATTTCTCTCCTCTTTCAATTGTTATTTCTATTTCTTTATTTTTATAGATTCTATGTACATAATGTGATTAGAAGGTAAGATAAACACTATAGTAAAGAAAACTTTTTATCAAAAAAAGAAACAAATAAACTACAAAACTCAAAATGTGTTGTCCCAGTACTATCTTACATACACTCAATTAGACCGCTCCCAAGTGTTTTTTATATAAACCTATCGGTCTCTCTTCTGTCCATTCTCCTCGCCAATCAGTGCTTGAGAAGGGTTGTTTGGACGAAGAAGCTTTCAGAGTCTCCCTCCCTTTAAATTGTCTTCTTCATTCTGCGAGTGAATAAAAATAGACTTTCTTTCCCTCTATTCTCTCTTTAGGTAATGTCTTACTCGACTACTTCCCAGTAAACGTTGTATGTCTTCCTCTTCTTCTCGTTTTGGTTTATCTTCTTAAAATCACTTATGTACATGATATGCTAGTTTCTTGTCATCTTGCTTGAATCTAATAAACATTTTTAATGGTTAATATATATATTGGATCATTCGACTCCTAAATTGATTAAGAAAAATATATGTATTGAGTATTTAATAATTGTTACAAGGACAGGCCATGTCTGTAGCTATAGAACTCGCTTAACTTGTGTATATCACAGGTGTAAACTATTCATTTAGTTTGTGTGTGGGGTGATTTGATTCTTGACTGGATGTGAAATGCAAAGATCACGGAAAGCTCTTCTGCTAAGAAGAAGAGTTTCTGAGGATACTTCTAATGCAAGGAATCGTTTGTACAAAGTTTCACTATCTATGGTTTTTCTCGTATGGGGGATTCTCTTGTTATCTACATTGTGGATCAGTCTTGGAAACGGTCACAAAGGTAACCTCTAAGCACCTACAATATTTCCAAACATATAAAAGAAAAATGATACTAAACTTGATTGTGGTAACAAGTGCTTTTAGAGAAACTACTATTGTTCTTTTCATCTTGTCTTAAGCGTATTAAAAAGCTTACTTTTGGGCGTTTTCAGGGAAGTCTCTAGTCCATTCTTTGGTACAAATTCGTGATCATCAAGGTGATTTTAGTGCAGATGGGATAGAAGAATCTGTTGATGCAGCATCACTAGAGTCGTCTACTTATGTTAATTCTACTCCCAGTTTGAGTCTGGATGTTCATATAGCCGATAATGCCGGAAATGTTAGGGAAAGCGAAGAAGACAATGGGCTTGTGAAGCAAAGTGAAATGATTAATAAGACAGAGACTGATGCTTTAAAGCTTGATCAGCTGTCTGGTACTGTTCCACTTAGCCTTGATGAGTTCAAGAGTAGAGTGACAAACCCTAAAGATGAACCTTTAGCCAACCAAGTCAGCAGTGTGATTCACAGAATGGAGCCTGGTGGGAAAGAGTACAACTACGCAGCCGCTTCAAAAGGTGCAAAGGTATTATCTTCTAACAATGAAGCAAAAGGAGCAACAAGCATCATAAGCTCGGACAATGACAAGTACCTGAGGAACCCGTGTTCCACTGAAGACAAGTTCGTTATCATAGAACTTTCAGAAGAAACGTTAGTGAACACAATCAAGATTGCAAATCTTGAGCATTACTCTTCTAATCTGAAGGAGTTTGAGATTCTTGGAACCTTGGTTTATCCTACTGATACATGGGTTCATCTTGGGAACTTCACAGCATTAAACATGAAGAATGAGCAGAACTTTACGCTAGTGGATCCCCAATGGGTGAGATATCTAAAGATGAATTTCTTAAGTCATTACGGTTCAGAGTTTTACTGCACTTTGAGTTTACTAGAAGTCTATGGAGTGGACGCTGTGGAAAGAATGTTAGAGGATTTGATATCTATCCAAGACAAAAACATAGTGAGACTCACTCAAGAAGAAGACAGCGAGTCCTCTGAAAGCCATGAGGATGAGAGTAAACAGAAGGACAAGGAAAAAGAAACCTCACCAGAGAATGTGGTTGTGAAAGCTGAAGTATCAAATGAGAGAAAGAAGCTGCTAGATCCGGTGGAAGAGCTAAAACATCACCAACCAGGAAGCAGGATGCCAGGGGACACTGTGCTGAAGATACTCATGCAGAAGATAAGGTCACTTGACTTGAGCTTATCAGTGCTGGAGAGTTACCTGGAGGAATTGAGTTCAAGATACATGAAGATATTCAAAGAGATGGATGTGGAGGCGATCAAGAAAGAGAAGGAGGTGGAGAAGATGAGACTAGAGTTAGATGGAATGAAGGAGAGTCAAGAGAAGATGAAGGAAGAGGCCATGGAGATAAGAGAGTGGAGAAGAAAAGTAAAGACAGAGGTTGAGAAGGCTGATTATGAGAAGGAGAAAGTGATGGAAAGGTTGGAGAAAATTTTGGAAAAGATGGAGTGGATGGAGAAGAAATGTGTGGCTGTGTTCACCATCTGTGTTGGGTTTGGTGCTATGGCGGTTGTAGCCGTGATTCTTGGGAAGTTGATAGGTTTAGCAGAGAAGCCAACCGACTTGGCTTGGCTTCTGTTGTTGATAAGCTCTACAGTTGTTATATTTGTTTTGTCTCTTTGATGAAAATAACCTCCAGTTTTGTCGGTCTTTTTTTAGTTTGTAAAACTATAGAGGCAGTTTTGGCTTTTATATAGAATAAAATATCTAAGTTTAAATGAAGATCTTCAGTTTTGTTGTGCTCAAAATTTCCGGTTCAGTTGATTTTTGGAGAATAATCTCACCCATTGCTGAACTTAGCAGTAGAAATTTCTACTAGTAAAGCCAATATTGAGAAGCAGAATAACCCCATCCCTATGGAAGTAGATGCTCTTCTTGACGAATGCCTACAACACTAAAGAAGAAGGACCTTATGATCCCTGGAAGCACTCAATGGTAACTGTATTCTGGTAGTTTGTTGGTGTATTACCCCCTGATGTATGCAATGTCCGCTTTACCTTGCTGAGATTGGGTTGTATCTGTCTGCTGGATAGCGCTCCACAGCAGAAGCTCAGTTAGAGAAAATGGTTGAAAACTTGAAATCATAGAGGTCTATAAAGAGTGCAATATTTACATGAGTTGTCTTCTTTTCAACAGCAACAATTTAGCTCCCAACCTCTTTTGTCTTGAGTTCCTAAACAGAGTCAGTGGGTTTAGGTAGTAACAATGGATATTATGGGCTTGATTCTCACCAAAAGCCCAACGAGAGAGTTCCCTAAACCCAAGTCTCAGCATCTATCAATGTTCTTCATCGCATTGATTGACACACAGTCACGGTCAAGTATCTTTTAAGTTGTTGGAGATCCGAGTGACGTTTTCATTGCACCGAACCCAATAAAATAAAATAAAACCCACCTTTTGCCCTCACCAACCACAAACCTCCGTTACAGACTCAGTGCCTGATCACAATTCACAAGCACACACAACAACACACACAGAGACATACGAGAGAGAGAAACACGATGGCGTTGGCTCTTCGCAGACTCTCCTCTTCCCTCAAGAAGCCCATCTTCGCTAATGGCGGTTCCCTCCGTTTCATGGTAAATCAATCTGATTCTCACGCTTACCTTCTTCATTCTTAACACACTTTCGTTAGATTCTGATCCCTTTAACTTCATGTCTTTTGATGCACAGTCTTCTACGTCGGCCTCGGAGAGATCTCGTTCCAGTGTAAAGATATCATCTTTTTTGCTTTTTTATATCATCAGATGCGTCATAGAATGATCAACATATTATATGTTCTTCTTTGATCAGTGGGTAAAACAACTCAATGCACCTCTTGAAGAAATCGATCCGGAAATCGCAGATATTATCGAGCTCGAGAAAGCTAGGCAATGGAAGGTTATATTTGATTAGTCAATATTCACATGAAGGGTTGTTGAAAGGTGGAACCTTTATATTTGATTTGGAATCTGAGTGGATGTTGTGTGTTTTCAGGGATTTGAGCTTATACCGTCTGAGAACTTCACATCTGCTTCGGTTATGGAAGCTGTTGGTTCTGTTATGACTAACAAGTATAGTGAAGGTTACCCTGGTGCTAGATACTATGGAGGCAATGAGTATGTACTCTTTACTTTAGTGCAACTTTCTGGGATTCTTCAAGTGAAAGATTTGTTTTTATTATGCAAGTGACTAACCACTTGTCTTTGTTATTCTTACAAAAGACATTGTTGTTTTTCTTTCGAAAGTATTGAACTTTATCCTATGCTCAGTATTTTGATATGTATCTTTGTCAACTAGGTACATTGACATGGCTGAGTCATTATGTCAAAAACGCGCTCTTGAAGCTTTTCAGTTAGATCCTTCCAAATGGGGAGGTACTAGTTCTATGCAGATGTCATTTATTTATTTAGTTGTGAGTCTTTGAAATTATATCGGAAACCAAACTTCACTAATTGTGACATGAGCTACTCCTCTGTTTGTTTGTAGTCAATGTGCAGTCTTTATCAGGATCGCCAGCTAACTTCCAAGTTTACACCGCACTTCTTAAACCTCATGAAAGAATCATGGCACTTGACTTGCCTCATGGTGGCCATCTTTCTCATGGTTATCAGGTAACCTTGAACAAAATCTCTATAGCATGGTCAGTTTTGCGGCTTGCTTTCTCATCTTCATTTGGAACTGATGATGTATGTTTTCCCCTTTTTCTTTTTCATTGCTCATGTGCAGACTGACACGAAGAAAATATCTGCTGTCTCCATCTTTTTCGAGACAATGCCATACAGATTGGATGAGAGCACTGGTTACATTGACTATGATCAGGTTTGATAGTTAACAGCCATCTTAGCATAAATCTTAAACATTTTATCCTTACCAAATATACCATTGAAACATTTACAAGGTTTCTCAGTTTCACGTTTCTCATTTATTCTGCAGCTCGAGAAAAGTGCCGTGCTTTTCAGACCTAAACTTATTGTTGCGGGTGCAAGTGCTTATGCTCGTCTGTATGACTATGCACGTATTCGTAAGGTAAATGTTGTCTCAACTCTTGAGTGCGAAGTGTGATTACCAAAGTTGCATGCTAAATAAATGTGTATTCCACTTTTCAAGATTATTTATTAAAAATTTGCAGGTCTGTGACAAGCAAAAGGCGGTTATGCTGGCTGATATGGCTCATATTAGTGGTTTGGTAGCTGCTGGTGTGATACCTTCCCCTTTTGAGTATGCAGATGTTGTTACTACTACAACTCACAAATCGCTTCGCGGTCCTAGAGGGGCTATGATATTCTTTAGGAAGGGGTTGAAAGAGGTTAACAAACAAGGAAAAGAGGTGGATTTCAATTTTCAAGTCATATTGCATAACATGAATTGGTAAATAACCTGCAGGGGCTGGCTAATTTTTGTTGTATTTGATCATATGTTATTTGTATTTGTGTAAATGGCAGATCATGTATGACTATGAGGACAAAATTAACGCAGCTGTTTTTCCTGGACTGCAAGGTGGTCCACATAATCACACAATCACAGGTCTAGCAGTTGCTCTGAAGCAGGTTCGATCATCAAACTCTTTTATACTGAAATCCATTTGCTTAATATGTACTCCTGAATCCCTTTCACTTGATTCGGATTAAGGTCTAATATAGGATTTTCTTTGTTCTCTTTCATAATCTTTTTGACTTGTCGATTTATTTCATAACAGGTGAAAACACCTGAATATAAGGCCTACCAGGATCAAGTTCTCCTTAATTGTTCAAAGTTTGCAGAGGTGAGACGTGTTTCCTGATTGTGATATTCTTTGTTGATATGCCTTAAATAGCTTGCCATGTTTGGAATACACCAGTATAAGCCTATTGAAATCTTCTCATTTTTTTGTTTGTGGAATGGCTTGTAACTGCAGACTTTGCTATCAAAAGGATATGACTTAGTGTCTGGAGGCACTGACAATCATTTAGTTTTGGTGAACTTGAAAAATAAGGTACTTCATGAAGACACCTTAACAAATAAATAGAAATGCTTGCTTTCGGTTTATATATTTGCATAAGAAGGTGGTGAATCGCTTCGGTTCTGAGAGCATAAACTTATAGAATATGGTTTCAGTACGCTAAACTAAAACAAGCATGGTTTCTTGCTTCTCATATGTATTGTGGGATTTCATTTTTATACTGACCACATGTAGCAAACCAAGTCTAAATGTTTTTTTTTTCTGTATTGTGAACCTCGTGAAGAAGTGAATAGGTGTCCCTAATTTTCTCTGCGAATGCGGAAATTGAGTTGTGCAGGGAATAGATGGATCAAGAGTGGAAAAAGTATTAGAATCAGTACATATTGCAGCAAACAAGAATACAGTTCCTGGTGATGTTTCCGCCATGGTTCCAGGTGGCATCCGTATGGGTAAGGCTTTGAAAGAAGTAATATGCTAGTATGTCGAAAAAGTAGTAAATGTTCATGCTGGTACTTGCTAGTTTTAAAATTCTATTTTAGCTGTGATCATAGAGACCTGGTGATCATTGAAAGAATCGTATATGTTCTTCTTACAGGAACACCAGCTCTGACATCTAGAGGATTCATTGAGGAAGATTTTGCAAAAGTGGCCGAGTACTTTGATTTAGCCGTCAAGATAGCCTTGAAGATCAAGGCAGAGTCTCAAGGTATATAAATAAGGCGTTCCTGTTTGTTTATTTTCTGTCACACACTCTGAAAATTTGGGGGATTTATAAATGGTGTAATGCAGGAACAAAGCTGAAGGACTTTGTAGCAACAATGCAGTCAAATGAGAAGTTACAGTCAGAGATGGCGAAGCTGCGTGAGATGGTTGAAGAATATGCTAAACAGTTCCCAACAATCGGGTTCGAGAAAGAGACAATGAGATACTACAAAGAGTAGTTTCATTCGTCAAGTGAATCCATACGTTTCCACATAGGTAGCAAATGTTCCCAAAGAGAGTTTCTTTCACGCTCTGATACAGAAATGACCTCTTTCATTTGCTATCTCCGGTCTCTTTCTTTCTTTTTGTGTTGAGAATAAAAGGTACTGAGATGAACTTATAGCAGTTTTAATATGATTCACAAAACTCATACATTCTTGTATGATAAACACATTAAACAATGATAAAGATTTATTTTGTTCTATATGAATAAAATTAATAAAATTTCAGATTCTTGGAATTTTGGAAAAGAACAAGGATAAATCAGCTTCCTAGTTTAGAACTTGTGATACATAATCAAATTATGACTGGGCTGTAACATGTTTTAGGCCTTGATCCTAAGTGCATTATGGGCATCACCAGGCAGCAAAACTCTGAACACTGCATAATGGTGATTTAGACTCTTTTCTCCTTGAAGTCTATGAACACTCCCGAGACCGCCTGCCCTGGGGTTTGGAAAAGCGTAGAATATTCGTTTTATTCTCTGATGCACAAGCGCCATAGCACACCTTATATACACAGGAACATAATTCAAAACTTCATCAGATTCTCAAAAACTTGCTGTTGTTAGAAGAGTAAGGCATATATGTAGGAACTCACATAGTACAAGGCTCCCAAAGTAAGAAAATGTCATGGCCAGTGCAGAGGTAAGGCTTTTCAATTGAATGACCTCTAAGAGCTGTTTCTCTGCTGTCATTTTGGACCTGTTGGTGAGAATCAAGAGTGTAAAAGAGAATGCTTTATTACAAGTCAAAGGACTTGGAGAACAGTTTTAAAATGTTGGTTTGGAATAAACTTACGTCTGGACTGTTACTGCTTGTTTTCTGCTTTTTAGCGGGAGAATCAGCACTTGAGGGTTGGGAATGATCCATACCAAAACTCTCGGAGGAATGGGGAAACAGATATCTATCTCTTGCAGCAGAAGATTCAATGGCAACTATGGAAGCATGCCTTAGAGGGTGCCATTTATCAGCATCATCTGGCTGCAAACTCCATTGCCAGGGATTCAGACAAGCAACAGCAGACGATGAACCATTCAATTTCTCAAGTATGTCGTTTATGCATATCTCCGAACTAGCGTTAGCCTCTTTCTCGATACTCTGACAGTGATTAGATTCCCCTGTTCCATTGAAGGAAATGATCTCAGTGGTAGTCATGTCGCAAGGACCACATGATGAATATACTTGATCAGTTTCGCTAGCTATTATCCGCCTAACCGAGGGATCAACAATCACTGCAGCATTTACAAGCTGAAAAATACACCACAAGCTTAGCAATTTGTTCAATGAAGATCTTTATATATGCAACGAAACCATGGTAAATTTTAAAACCAAGAGAAAACGGATTAAGGCGATACAAAAAGGGAATGATATGTGAAAAATGAAAACAGATTACTAGGAGAGGTTGATACAGTACAGAGAGCCTGGTCTGTTGTTCAAAATTTCATAACTGCATTATGTAGATAAAGGGAAGAAGCCAAATACTTACTGGCTTATGACTAGATACTGCCAAATTAATGGCAACTCTCATAAACTTGCAGATTGATTGTGTGTCCTCCTCACTGAAACCACCAATGCCATCTATATTGCTACCATTTTTAAATGCAAAAAGAAAACAATCAGGAAGACAAGAGCACAAACAAAATTCATCAAGAAGTAGGATTATTCTAAAAAGAAGAAAGATAAGATAAAAGATCATCTAATCCCTTTTGGTTACAATATAAGTTTCAAGAAATCAGAATCTGAAGAAAAGGACATGGAGCTTACTAGGTTGGAGGATGAAATGAGGTTGGCCATATCTTACATTGTTCTTCCCACTCCTCTTTCGATACTGCAGCATATTTGCATACCTATAATAGAAGATCCAACCGAAAATAAAAATCAATGAGCAAAAAAATATTAGACACGGATTCTAAATGTACAAAAGCCTTAAAGACAAGTGTTGTGAGAGATAAGAGAAAAAGCAAGTACCCACCTGTGTAATAAAAGGACT